CTGATACCAATTGATACAACTCAACCAGTAATATGAGAAGTTTAACAAAATGAACACTGAAATATGGGTCAGAATACTCAGCTTTCCATTTAATCAGTAAAAGAAATTACAAACAGAAACGAATCACAATGACAATTACAGTGAATTCAAAAGGAAATAACAAGCATTAACGTAAAGATAGGCTTGAGGCAGTCGGAAAGGCCACACTTTCTCCCAAGTTCCACTCCAATAAAGTCCAGAATGGTGCACATAGCACCCTAGCTCTCCTTTTAACCCATTCCTACATAACCAACTTGGTGGTTCATACACAAATTCTGTTAGGGGATATTTTGGTCATCCCCTTCTCTTGGTTCCTCAGCACTTGGACCAATTATACCAACATTCTCCTTTGGGCCAACTTCAGCACTTGAATTCTCCTTTGGGCCAACTTCAACACTTGAAATCCAACTCCTCCTATTTTAATCTCTCTTGTAAACCTTTATGGGTTGGGCTTTATCACAATACAAATTAAAAATAAAGTCTTCGATCAATAGAAATCCCAAATTATGTAAAACAATAACTGAATTTTACAGTCAAGCAATCCAAATTACAAAATAAAGTCTTCATTCAATAGAAATCCCAAATTTTGTAAAATAATAACTGACAATACAAATTAGTACTTAATTAAAAGTGTTAGAATAGGAAATATTAGATATATAGATTTGATATAGATTTGAATAGATTACCTTCTTATATGTAAATATTCTTTTCCTATTTAGTTTCCGCAAAAGACTTCATCCGACCAAGTGTGTCTCCATGGGGAGCACCGGTCATCTTTGTTAAGAAGAAAGATAGAACAATGCGATTGTGCACCGATTACAGACAGTTGAACAAGGTGACAATCAAGAACAAGTATCCCCTCCCTCGTATTGATAATCTATTGGATCAACTTAGTGGAGCTTGCGTGTATTCCAAGATTGAACTTCGGTCCGGATACCATGAGATCCAGGTTAAACCGGAGGATGTAACCAAGACCGCGTTTCGTTCGAGATACGGTCATTATGAGTATTTGGTGATCCCGTTTGAACTCACCAATGCACCAGCAGTGTTCATGAATTACATGAACTGCATCTTTCAGCCATACTTAGATCGTTTTGTGATCGTCTTCATTGACGATATTTTGATTTCCTCCAAGAATGAGGAGGAGTAGCATGTGCAGCACTTGAGGATTGTGTTACAGGTGCGTAAGGAGAAAAAGCTTTATGCAAAGCCTTCGAAGTGTGATTTTTGGCTCAATTCGGTGAAATTCCTTGGGCATGTGATTTCTGCAGAAGGAGTTACAGTAGATCCAAACAAGATTGAGGTAGTGTTGGATTGGGAGAGACCCAAAACCGTTACAGAAGTTAGCAGTTTCTTGAGTTTGGTCGGTTACTACAGGAGGTTCATTGAGGGATTCTCCAAGATGGTATTGCCATTGACTCGCCTTACCCGGAAGGAGACTCTGTTTGTGGGACTCACAAGTGTGAGGAATGCTTTCAGGAATTGAAGCAGAGATTGACCACTGCACCAATGTTGATCCTTCCTGATCCTGCGGAGTAGCTTGAGCTTTATTGTGAGGCTTCTACGAAGGGGTTAGGCTGTGTGTTGATGCAAACTGGAAGAGTTGTTGCTTATGCTTCGAGGCAACTGAAGCTTCATGAGGAGAATTACCCGACTCATGATTTGGAGTTGGCTGCTACTGTTTTTGCCTTTAAGATTTCGAGGCATTACTTGTATGGTATGAAGTTTGCGGTGTTCAGCGATCATAAGAGCTTGAAGTACCTATTTGACCAGAAGGAGCTGAATATGAGACAAAGAAGATGAATGGAATTTCTGAAAGACTACGACTTTGAGTTGAAGTACCATCCTGGCAAGGCCAATGTGGTAGCTGATGCTTTGAGTCGAAAATCCGTAAGTTTATCCAGTTTGATGATGGGTGACTTTGATGTAATTGATAAGTTCCAAGACTTGACGGTGACCTCGTTGTTTGAGGGTGCACTATTGGAAACTGTGAGAGTGGAAAATGAGCTAGTGGAGAACATCAAAGAGGCGCAAGTTCAAAGAGAGTCCCTTGATTATGTGAAAAACCAAGATGGTGTATCTTGGAATAAAGACAGATTGTTAATGTTCCAGAAGAGGATTGTAGTACCTAGAGGTCCATTGGCTGAGGAGGTGATGTCAGAGGCTCATAAGGGCCAATTCACTATCCACCCTAGGGCTCCAAAAATGTACGAGGACTTGAAGAAAAACTTTTGGTGGCCGGGCATGAAGAAGGATATAACTGTATATGTGTCCAAGTGTTTGATATGCCAGAAAGTGAAGATTGAAAACATAAACCGTCTGGTAAGCTTCAACCTCTTAAGATTCCGCAATGGAAATGGGAGAGCATTTCCATGGACTTCATGGTGGGATTGCCAAAGACTCGTGCTGGTTGTGACTCGATTTGGGTCATTGTGGACAGATTGACTAAGTCTGCCCATTTTCTTCGTGTGAAGGTGAGCTTCACTACAGAGCAATTGGCCAAACTTTATGTTCGCGAGATTGTGAGGCTTTACAGGGTGCCCGAGAGAATCATTAATGATAGGACCCGAAGCTCACATCTCAGTTCTGGGAGGCACTGCAGGGAGCTTTTGGTACTCAGTTGAGATTAAGTACAGCCTATCACCCTCAGACTGATGGACAGACTAATCGAACCATCCAGACGTTGGAGGACATGTTGAGAGCTTGCACCTTGGAGCAGGGCTCAGCATGGGATCAATACCTACCTTTGGTTGAGTTTTCGTACAACAGTTTTCATGCTAGCCTGGGCATGGCACCCTACGAGGCGTTGTATGGTAGGAGGTGTCGGAATCCTACCTGTTGATCTGAGGTTGGGGATCGAGAGTTGTTTGGATTGGACTTTGTCCAAGAGACTACCCAGCAGATCCAGATGATCAGAGAGAAGCTAAAGCAAGCACAGAATCGCCAGAAGAACTACTATGATAACAAGCATCGGCCACTGGAATTCAGTGAGGGTGAACATGTGTTCGTGAGACTTTCACCCGTCACCGGTGTTGGCCGGGCCCTCGGAGTGAGGAAGCTTAGCCCGAGATTCATTGGGTCATACCAGATACTTGGTAAGGTAGGGCATGTTGCCTACCGGCTTGCCTTACCTCCGAACTTGGCCAACATCCATAACGTGTTTCACGTGTCACAGCTTCAGAGAAACATAGCGGATCCTACGCACGTAGAGCAACCGGATGATGTGGAAATTCGGGAGAACTTAAAGACTCTCGTAAGATCACTCAAAATTCTTGATCTTGGTGAGAAAAAGCTAAGGAGCAAGATCATTCCTATGGTCAAAGTGCAATGGGAAGGAAAAACTCTTGAGGAGTGTACTTGGGAGCAGGAGGACGAGCATCAGTTTAGGGACAGGTATGTCTCTAATTTTGAGGACAAAATTGTTAAAAGATGGGGTGAATGTAAGAACTCGCACCGTTAAATTTGAAATTTAAATAACTTAATTATGAAATTAAGAAATAATTCCATAATTGACCTTGGATAAATATAGAAAGATTAGAATAATTATTGAGAAGGACAAATAATGCTTAAATCGTTGTTCTGATGAAAAGTACAGATATCGGTTCCGCTTCACGGTATAATTGTATACCGGTGAAGTATCCCGAAAAATTATAATAAGCATATGAATATTCCTAGAATAATATCTAGGTTAAAAATACCAAGTTTGGAGTCATAATAATGAGTTTTGATGTCAGAATTAATACTGACTGCGTATAAAACGCATACCGGCAAAGTGCTGCGAAAATTATAATAAAAATATGACAAATCCTAGAAAAATGGTTAGGTTCAGAATATGAAATTTGAGGTTAAAATGATTAGCGGAGCTATTAGAACTAATACCGACGGATTAGTTTAATACGCCTATAAATACTACAGGGCACAAAGCCCTAGGTCTAATTCCATATTCTCTACGTAGAGGCTCCCCTTGCTTCCTTGTTCTAAACCTTCTTCTCCTCTTGAAGTCTTGACCTTTATGCATGGAAATGAACCAAAAACACACCTTTTACATTGATTCTTCCTCTTCGATCTTATAAACACTGAGTAGTTAGCATTGTCAGGGAGATAGGTGTTTCATTTCTGAGTTTTAGCTTCTGTTTGGGTGAGTGTTGGGAGCTGACTTCTTGGTGAGTGTTGTGGGAGCCATTTACTTGGCATTTGGAGCTTCAAAAAGCTACCTTTGGAGAAAAAGGACCAAGCTTGTGGACCATTTTTGTGGCCTTGTAGTGGCAGAATCCTAGAGTGGTATAGAAATCACCAAGTCACTTCCTTTTCTGATTTCACAAGCGTTAAGGTATCATTTTGATCATTTCCCTTGAAATTTCATGATTTTAGCTTGTTTGAGTCATTAAAAAGGGAAGCTTTGATTATTCAAGTTGAGGGCTGATAATCCATACATAATAAGTGTTAATGAACTTCTGTTTGTGGAGTCATTGGACTCAAAATCTTGGGAGGACCTTTAAAATAAGTATTATGCAGAAACTGCACGAGTTTCTGCATTCTGCCTGATAAGTATTCGAATACTTTTCGTGGAGTATTCGAATACTCATCAGGAGGTAGTCGAATACTCATGAAGGAGTATTGGGATACTTTTTTGGAAAGGAAAGTATTCGAATACCTTAGTAAAAGTATTCGGATACTTGGTAGTATTCGAATACTTCTCAAGGAGTATTCGAATACCTTGTGGTATTAGGATACTGTAGTAAAAGTATTCGTATACTTTGTGGTATTCGAATACTTTAGTGAAAGTATTGAGATACTTTCTGGGGACATGGGGTATTCGAATACTCATCGAGAAGTATTCGAATACTTCTTGCAAATTGAGCCTAAAAACACTTAAAATAAGTTGAAAAGTCTTAAACACTATGTAGAACCTTAATGGAACTTTGGGCTATGAATATTAATGATATTTCTGGTATGAACAGACCGTGACCTTGCTGTTTGGTGACCCGGGGTTTTAGCTTGATATTGCTAGTTTGACAGGTAAGCTTTCGTGTCCTCTGTTTTGCCCATTGTTGGTTCCACCATACCTCATGGAGGGATGATTTTATGCATGATGTGTTTTATGAAAATATGTGATGATTAGTGATGTGCTATTGAGCTGTTTTATGAGTGCAAATGCCATATGATATGTATGTGATGTTCCACCTAGACGGTAACCCCTGAATATGTGGAGACATACAAGATGGTAACTCTGTGGGTGAGGTACAAGCGAGGAGTCTTGTACTGTAGGTTGTAGACGTATGTAAACCCTACCTTTTATTCTCTGACCAGTGGGATGCATACACACATTACATGGATATATGCTGCATTGCACGGATTATGAAATTATACTGTTATTCTATTTTAGAACTTATATTGCACATGTAAGTGAGCTTGGGGTAGAGAGATCCTTGAGGACCCCTTGTCTTACTGAGATTTCTTTTTAGAGATCTCACCCCATGTTGGGGCACATTTTCAAGTACAGGTACCTCGGGAGTTGAGATCTCTGGTGGCAGGAGGCCAGAGTTGAGCTGATATGCATGCTGCTTTTATTATATGCCTGGATATTACTTCATGTTTTACTTTCAGTGCATTGTTATTTGACTTGAGACATTGATTAGCTACGTGCCTTATTTGGTGAGCATGGGGGTTGTCCATGCCACATCGATATCAAACGTGTTTGATTTTACTTGAGTTGTATAATGTATCAGGATATTGTCCGGTCTACATGTTGTAGTTCCGTGACTGGATACACATATATTGAATGAGGTTATTCAGTGTAGCTATTTATTGCAATTTACATACAGGCGATATTTTGTAAAAGGATAAGTAATCAACTTGGTTAATTTAATGTGTACATAATTAGAAAGAAAAAGTTAGCTTTCGCATTTATTTAGCTGCGTTATTACCATATGTATGTTTAATACACCGGATGCACATGGGGTGTTACAGGGGAGTGTTAGAATAGGAAATATTAGTTATATAGATTTGATATAGATTTGAATAGATTACCTTTCTATATGTAAATATTATTTTCCTATTTAGTTTTGTATTAGGTTTGGGCTTCTCACTTAAGCCCATTAGGGTCTCTATATATTGTAACTCTTTGTATGAGCTTAATACACAACATTATTATTTTTTATTCAAGTAAAAGAAAATATCAAACCAAACAAATATGACATATTTCCAAATTCCTGGTATTCCTTTATGATATCCCATTTTTCCTTATTCCATACTGCAACAAAATGTTTAGATTTATAAATTAAACTAGTGTTCACTACTTAAATAAAAGAATAATTTCAGCAATCGGCGGACAGAGGTCAAAATTGCAAGTGCTTATCATTTTCTAGAAAGGAGTATATGAAACAAGTGCTTATCATTTTCTAGAAAGGAGTATATGAATGAGCTTCCTAAATTGTCCTAGCATGAATTCTCCTCTTTTTTGCTTGGTGCAAATGAGTTATTCCAATTAGCTTTCAGCAATTTATGTATGAGCGCAGAAGTGGACAGTGCAGTCTATCTTTCTAAAACTGTACTGTGACTTTTGGTATGGGAGAAGAGAAAGAGAGGAATGTGTATAACATATCTTTGAGCATAATGAAAAAGAAAGGATCATAATATTTCATTGAAATATTTGTAAAAGAGGAAAAGGTTCTACTGACTTAAAAATTAACCCTATCCCACTATATGTACACTCCAATAGTAATATCATCAAAAGAACCTCTACTCTACAAATGATGTACAAGGAAAACCAGTCAATATGCATGCTATGACATCTGTGCCTTTTTTCCCTCTGACGCAGCCTACATACTTATTACACACATGATGAATAGGCAACTTTTTGACATGGCATAGTCTAGGTTATGCTAAAGTTTAAAAAGAAATCCTTTCCTTTTGGTTTTCCCATCCAAAGGGACTATTCAAGGGTTTTAAAAACCTAATTTTCTCCATTTTACCTGCCATCATTGTATACCTGTTGTATGTCATTAAGGTTCTTACTCAAATTATTGTAAGAATTCAAGCAATGATTTCCTATTCTCCTTTTCCTCACTAAATTAAAGTTACACATAGAATTGGGCTTTATCATGTGTTACACATAGAAATTGAATAATTTAATGAATCTCCAAATGACATGTAACAACATAGTGCGTAAAGCTAACTACTGTTTGTGTGTCTGCAGTCAATAAGAAATAATATTCCAAAGCTGACAACGAAGAAATGTAAAAACAAAAAATCCATCACAAGCAGTATTTTTTAAGTTTATAATTGCAAGCTAGTTTGAACTAGTCAAGCTAAGCATCTTATGTTGAAGTTAAGATCGGCACTGGCACAGTTAAAAATCATCTCAGTCACACCAAGTCTAGCAAAGAAACTATTTTCTGCTAGTAAATTATATATCCAAACATTAATTCATCTATGGAACAAAATAAACTTGAAAATAAAAGCAGTAACGCAATACAGAAATGTGTTGAAGAAGTGAAGCTGAAGATCACAAGTTACCTGCTGGATATCTTCGCGAGAAACCCGTCTCACGGATCCACTTGACATGTCTGAAGTTCCCACGGGAACTGGACATAATAAATGTAAAAAATAATTATAAATTGTAGACTGGTTGAGTTTCACTACATAAAAACTGAAATCAACAAGAACCCAACAAGAGAGTAAACCTTGTTTCAGTCCTCTAAAGGTACAAGTGTCATCACTTTGGTCCTCTGATAAGAACTTTGGGATGCACATCCTAAAAGCTAGCTCAAAAGGTGAGAGTACTCAAGGCCTTATAAATTCCATATTAGTTGCTCATACAACCAATGTGGGACTTTAAGTCTCATACCTTGCAAATGGGATCCTAACATTCCACCACACTCCGCAGCCCCAACGCTCACGCAGGCTGGCTTTGTGCTAGTCTTTTACTAGCCTCAAGCGAACATTGCAATGCCGGCGTCACCACTCACGCCACTCGATTGCAACCGGAAGACACAGTGGAAGGCTCTGATACCATTTGATAAGAACCTTGGGATGCACTACCCCAAAAGCTAACTCAAAGGGTGGGAGTGTCCAAGGCCTTATAAACCCCACATTAGTTGCCCATACAACCAATGTAGGACTTCAAGTCTCATACCTTGCAAATGGGATCCTAACATCCTCCAAGAGCTTTGACATCAATTCACTCCTTCAATCATGAAAAATTAAATCAAAATCATCCTTTTGTGTACAGACCTCAAGACTGAGGGTCTAAAATTACATTCTCTATGATAAAAGGACCGAATTGATGTCAAATTTGTATATGTATGCCAATTGCGTAGGATCAGTAATTGACAAAAGATCAAGTTATTGTATGTTTTTTGGTGGGAATTTAGTTACGTGAAGGAATATGAAACAAAATGTGGTTATTTGGTTAAGTGGAGAAGCCGAGTACGAGAGTTTCGAGCTACGGCAAAGGGGTTTGTGTATTGTTATGGCTAAAGGTTATATTGGACAATCTTTAAACAAGATATAATGGAACTGTATTGTGACAATAAAACTACCAAAAGCATTACTCGTTATCTGGTTCAGCCTAATAGAAAAAGAACATTGAGATTGATTGTGACCTCATCAACGTGAAGTTAGATTGTCGTCTAATAATTAGTACTAATACTGTTAGAAATAATATAATATTAAATAGCATTGTGTTATTTATTATTCTGTTATTCTAGCAGGTTATTTGGGCTTGGCCGATTAGGTCATTTAACCTCTTTAAATAGAGGCCTTTTGTACAGTTCTAGACACAATTGAATACAATATATTCATACATTTTAATTTGGTACCAGAGCTCTTTGTTCTGGGAATTTTCGCTTCCTCTAACGCCGTGCGTCCCTCCGGCTTGGTTCTACACCACCTTCTACTGGATTAGTAACTCTTTCAAGTGTCGACTGAGGCACTTCTCAAGAAGGTTTCTTCTCAGGATCCTACTCAAGACACTGGTAATCATGTTGCTTGTTTTTATCAATCATCTCTTGGACCCTGGATAATAGACTCAGCTGCTACTCATCATCTTTGTGGTAATAAAGATCTCTTCACTTCACTTTCTTATTCTAATAACCTACCCTCTGTCACTCTTGTTGATGGCACTAAGGCTCCTGCTCGTGGAATTGGGGAAGCCAACCCAACTCCCCTTTTAACTTTGAGCCCTGTTTATTATATACCTGGCATTCCTTTTAATTTAATCTCTGGCCAGTTGATTCATTCTCTTTCATGTACTGTTACCTTCTCTAAACAATCCTTTTCTATGCAGGATTCAGGTACGGGGAAGACGATTGGAGCGAGCATTGAGTCACGAGGTCTCTACTATCTGATTGCACCACCTTCTCCAGTAGCCTGTTCTCTCACAAAGTCTCCTGAGCTAATTCACAGCTGTATGGGTCATCCAAGCCTCTCCAAGCTTCAGCATATGGTTCCTTTTTTATCCAGTCTTAAGTCTTTAAACTGTCATTCTTGTCAGCAAGGAAAGCACACTCGCTACTCCTTTGCTAATAGAGTTAATAAAAGAGCTGATGCTCCTTTTTCTGTTGTTCATTCTGATATTTGGAGTCCGAGTCGAACAATGTCTGTTTTGGATTTTCATTATTTTGTCACCTTTATTGATGATTTCTCTCGTTGCACTTGGGTTTATTTAATGAAAAATCGTTCTGAATTACTTTCAATTTATCAAAAAATTTGTGCTGAGATAAATACTCAATTTGGTGTTTCTATTCAAATTTTGCGCAGTGATAATGCAAAAGAATATGTGTCTCTTGAGTTTTCTAATTTTTTGGAGAAACGTGGGACGTCACACCAGACCACTTGTCCACACACTCCACAACAAAATGGAGTGGCCGAACGTAAGAATCGACATCTGGTTGAAACTGCTCGTACCCTACTAATTCTTATGAATGTTCCACTTCGTTTTTGGGCAGATGCTATAATCACCTCTTGCTTTCTCATCAATCGCATGCCCTCTTCCGTACTCAATAACGAAGTTCCACAGTGTTTTATTTCCAGAAGCACCTTCCTATCCTCTACCTCCACATGTATTTGGATGTACCTGCTTTGTTCATGATCTTAATCCAGGAAAAGATAAATTAACATCCAAAGCCTTCAAGTGTATTTTCCTTGGATATAGTCGTTTTAAAAAAGGGTATCGTTGCTACTCTCCTGATCTCAAGCGTTATATTGTCTCGGCTGTTGTCACTTTCCTTGATCAACAACCTTTTCATTCTATCCCATCTCAGATAACACAAGTTGATCAAGTTTTTATTATTCCTTGTCTTGATTTGTGTCTACCAGTTGCAGAAGACTCTATCCCGGAGGAGTGGCCCCTTGCCTCCATCCCTGAGGACCGTCCTTTTCTCACCTATCAACGTCGTCAGACTGCGCCTTCAGCGGATTTGACCCTTACAGACTCACCGCCTGCTGCTGTCGACTCTTCCCCTCCGGATCCTCCATCAGAAATTACTCCCATTGCCCTTCGCAAAGGTATTCGATCCACTCGTAACCCTCATCCACTTTATAGTTTATTGAGTTATGATAGACATTCTTCACCACATTTTACTTTTGTTTCTAGAATTTCGTCTGTTTCTATTCCTAAAACCACAGGTGAAGCACTCTCTCATCCGGGTTGGCGTCAAGCAATGATTGATGAAATGCAAGCACTTCACTTCAATGGCACATGGGATCTTGTTCATGCTACTCCTGGAAAGTCAGTTGTCGGTTGTCGATGGGTATTCACTGTCAAAGTTGGTCCTGCTAGCACTGTTGATCGCCTCAAAGCTCGTTTGGTGGCCAAGGGATACACTCAGATATTTGGTCTTGACTATGGGGATAATTTTTCTCCTGTTGCCAAAATGGCATCTATTCGCCTATTTCTTGCACTTGCTGCCATTCATCAATGACCTCTTCTACAGCTTGATATACTTGAATATAAAATAATATGTTGTGTATTGATCTAATTCAGAGAGTTACAATATATAGAGACTTAGCTTATATGAAAGGCCCAGACCTAATACAATCAGAATAATTACAGACTCTAATCATATCTAATCATATCTAATCAGACTAATCATATCTAATCATATCTAATATATTCTAACACTCCCCCTCAAGCTGGTGCATATATATTGTGAGCACCAAGCTTGTTACAAATGTATTGAACCCGAGGACCTCTAAGAGCTTTAGTGAAGACATCCGCTAGTTGATCAGAGGAGTTGAAGAAAGCAGTCTTGATTTCTCCTGATTGAATCTTTTCTCGAATGAAGTGACAATCAATCTCTATATGTTTGGTCCTCTCATGAAAGACAGAATTAGAGGATATATGTAGCGCAGCTTGATTATCACAGATGAGTGTCATGGGTTGTTTCTATTCACAAAGATGAAGCTCTTGAATTAACTGCTTTAACCAGATTAACTCACAGGTAGTATTTGCCATTGCACGATACTCAGCTTCTGCACTAGACCAAGCAACTATAGCTTGTTTCTTGCTCTTCCACGAAATTAAGTTTCCTCCAAAGAAAACACAATAGCCGGAAGTAGAGCACCTGTCCGAGGGTTATCCTGCTCAGCATCTGAATAACCACAAATTTCTGTATTTCCCAGATCTGAATACAACAAACATTTTCCTAGTGCTCCTTTGATGTATCGGAGGATCCTCACAGCAGCATCCCAATGTGAATCATAAGGGGAATCAAGAAACTGACTAGTCGTACTAACTGCGAAAGAAATATCTGGCCTAGTCACAGTAAGATAATTGAGCTTCCCAATTAGCCTCCGAAAACGTCCAGGATCAGATAACGGCTCCCCCTGTCCGGACAATAACTTCACATTAGAATCCATGGGTGTATCAACTGGTTTACTCCCCAACATACCAGTTTCTTCGAGGATATCCAGGGCATACTTCCTTTGACAAATAAAAATGCCATGTCTAGATTGCGTCACCTCAATTCCCAAAAAGTAACGCAGCTTCCCAAGGTCCTTTGTTTGAAATGCACTGAATAAATGGTTTTCTAACTGACAAATTCCGTCTTGATCACTTCCGGTGAGAATGATGTCGTCAACATACACTAACAAATAGATGCACTTGTCAGGAGATGTAATCCTATAAAATACAGAATGATTAACTTTACTGCGGATTAAGCCAAACGCCTGAACGGCAGAACTGAAGCGATTGAACCATACTCGAGGAGATTGCTTGAGACCATATAAGGATTTTCGAAGACGACACACTTTTTTAGACTCCACTTGAGCAACAAAACCAGGTGGTTGCTCCATGTAAACTTCCTCTTGCAAATCACCATGTAGAAAGGCATTTTTGATGTCAAGTTGAAGGAGTGGCCAGTGACGAACAGCAGCAAGGGCAAGAAATAGGCGGACTGACGCCATCTTAGCGACCGGAGAGAATTTATCGCTATAATCAAGGCCAAAAATTTGAGTAAAACCCTTGGCAACTAGGCGTGCCTTGAGTCGATCAACATGACCATCAGGTCCAACTTTTACAGTAAACACCCAGCGACAACCAACTATAGACTTCTCTGGAGGAGCAGAAACAAGGTCCCAAGTGCCATTGGAATGAAGTCCAGTCATCTCATCAAGCATCGCTTGGCGCCACCCTGGATGGGAAAGTGCTTCACCTGTGGTTTTAGGAATAGAAATAGAAGAAAGACTAGAAACAAAGGTGAAATGAGGTGAAAAAAGACGGTCATAGCCCAAAAAGGTATAAAGAGGATAAGGGTTTCGAGTAGTACGTGTACCTTTTCTTTGAGCAATAAGAAGAGCCTCTGGTGAAGAATCCAGAGGGGAAGAATCAACTGCAGGGGGCAATGAATCAGCAAGAGTCGAGTCGACAGGAGGCACAGTTTTACGACACTGATAAGTGAGAAGTGGACGGTCCGCAAGTATTGAAGCAATAGGTTGCTTATCTGGAATAGAAGTACCTGCAGCTGGCAAAGACAAGTCAAGAAAAAGGACAGTAAGAACATGATCAACCTGTGACAACTGAGATGGGATAGAATGAAAGGGTTGTTGATCAAGAAAAGTGACATCAG